GGTTTGAGGGTTTAGGGTTGCAAGTACAATGGATGTTTACTGGGCAGTGTTCGAGCTTAGAGCTTGCCGCAGGTCGCGGATGAGCCTCAAAGGGGACCCCTTATATACCCCTTATATACCCTGTACAACACGAGGGCCCTTACATCAGAACCCCTTAAAGAGGGTCAGGGGCCACATGAAGGGACCATGAAACTACCTCAGATTCAAGGGTAAACCCTAAACACTAAACCCTAAACCCTACACCCTAAACCCTAAACCCTAAACCCACACCACTGGGTGTTGGAAATGAGCCCCTCGCCAGTATGTAGGGCTTCTGCTCATTGCACAGCTCCCGCTCTCTGCAGACCTGCCACGATCCTAGACCCCTTACAGGGTTTACGGTTTAGGGCTTTTGGTCTAGGGTTTAGGGTTTGGGGTTTAGGGTCTAGGGTTTAGGGTTTTGGGTGTTGGGGTCCTTGGAGGTTCATGGGAGGAGTGTCATAAGCATGGCATCTGTACTTCGAAGCCTGTTTAGGCGCATATGCTAAACCCTAAACACTAAACCCTAATTAACCCTAAACCCTAAACCCTGAACCCTAAACCCTAAACCCAAACCCTAGACCCTAAACCCTAAACCCCGAACTGCCATGTCGCCTGCGAGGCCGGCCGCCACCTTCCCAAGGTGGGGATGACGAGCTTGTAGGGGACCGCTGTGCAGCCTTAGGGCGTTTTTTTTTTTTTTTTTTTTTTTTTTTTTTTTTTTTTTATGGGGGGGGGAGAGGGGGGGGTTAGGGTTTAGGGTTTAGGGTTTAGGGTTTAGGGTTTAGGGTTTAGGGTTTAGGGTTTAGGGTTTAGGGTTTAGGGTTTAGGGTTTAGGGCAAAGGTTTTGTTTGGGCTTCGGGGGTGTATAGGGCTGTGTGGGGCTAGGGTTTCGAGGCCCTGCGGTGCTTCGGCTTTCGCGTTTATAGGGTTTAGGGTTGGGGCTTTATAGGGTTTCATGTTATAGGGTTGAGGGTTTAGCTTAGGATGGAAGTAGAAAGGAATCCTAAACCCTAAACCCTTAACCCTACCCTAAACCCTAAACCCCAAACCCTAAACCCTAAACCCTAAACCCTAATCCCTGAACCCTAAACCCCGAAACGAAACGCGAATTTCAGAGCAACGCCGCCCCCCCCCCCCCCCCCCCTGTCAGGGGGGCAGGCTGGTCTCGTGCGGAGCTGTCGCCAGGCCTGACTTCAAAGGCGATAGGTTGCTGATTGTCTTTTAGGGCTTAGGGTTTAGGGTTTAGGGTTTAGGATTTAGGGACCCTGAACCCTAAACCCTGAAACTGCAGGACGTGGCGGATTTTGTTTGACTACCCTGAACCCGAAACCCTGAAACCGAATGGGCCTCGTTAGGGTTTAGGGTTTAGGGTTTAGGGTTTAGGGTTTAGGGTTTAAGGTTTAGGGTTTAGGGTTTAGGGTTTAGGGTTTAGGGTGTAGGGCTATGGTTGGGTTTAGGGCTATGGTTTCTGGTCGACCTCTGCCGGCCAGGCGAAATCCTAGAAGCAAAGCTCGTCCCTCAGGTTTGCGGGTTTACCTTGTTGATCTAAGGGTAGTTTCATGGTCCCTGACTTTGGCCCCTTACCCTTGTTTCAAAGGGTTCTGATGTATGAGTTCCTGGGTTGTATAGGGCATATAAGGGGTATGTAATGGGTCCCCTCTTTAAGGGCCCATCTGAAGGGACCATGAAACTACCCTAAGAACTAAGCGTAGGGTGGTGGACTAGGGTTGTCGTTACTTTCCTGCATGCGCAAGTCACGAAATGGCACACATACATAACCGGAGAACACATGCGCAGTCTCCTCTGATACTGTCCCTTCTTGTGCCCTCACCCCCGAGAAACCCGAAACCCTAAAACCCAAACGCTTTATTGAGAGTACATATCCTTTAACGCCCAATCACCCAAAATCACTTGGCTGCACTTAGCAGGGTAGCTATAAGATTAATTGCTTAGCAGCCTTCTTAAGAAACCGAATAAGGCTAAGGAGCAAATGCTACGGTAAAGCACCACAGAGATAAGAGAGGCTACCATACCCCCAATGTACGAAGCTGTAGTCCATTATTCTACTTGGAGGTTCAGGGTACTTATAACCCTAGTTATAACTGCACTTGTAAGCCCCCTAAGTCCCCTAAGAAGGTTATAAGTAGACTTATAACTGTGGTTATATTATAAGTACCCATGAACCTTCAAGTAGTCTACTCGCTTCAAGGACAAAGAACACGCACCTCAGTCGGGGTCTTCAAGTCCTGGTCTCGAGTCAATTTTCTCCACCGAGCCTTAAGCCCTCAAAGCCTAAAACCCGAAACCCTGAGTTTAGGGTTTAGGGTTTAGGGTTTAGGGTTTAGGGTTTAGGGTTTAGGGTTTAGGGCTACTCGGAGACTCCCCGGTTTGGGGCATCGGGCTTGTGTAACCCACGGCCCCCACAGCACCGCTACTTATGCCTATAAACATAAGAAATTACAAGCATAAATACACATCTAAGAAAGAAATACATAAATAAACAAAGCTAAGCAACTATTAAAAACATATGAGTACAAAAAACAACAAGTATATGTGTGTGTATATATACATACACATAACATCGCCCAGGCCTGACTGGTCTTTCGGTGGGTCGGCAGCGGGTTCTTCAGAAGGCTGTTCCTGGCCAGCTGCTCGGATCGTCAGGTTAAAAGAGCCATAAAGGGTTTACGGATAAGGTTTAGGGTTTAGGGTTTCATCTGCAACCTATCAGAACCTAGTCAGGACCGAGTCCGTCCAGAAAACCGAAAGACATCCTGAAAAGCATCCGTGCCTGAACAGCTCGGCCTTATCATTCGTTCGGGTTTAGGGCTTTTACGGCTCAGGGCTTAGCTTGCCACAGTACCCTGAGAGCAGGCTGCAACGACCTCCTACTAAGCAGCAGCGTCCTTACCTGGGACTGTATTTACAACTGACCCCTTACTTCGTCTAAACCCAAAACACTGTAGGTAAGGAGAGTCACAAATAAGCCCTACACCCTACATCCTATACCACCAGGCGCATTCCGGGGCCCGAAACGCCAAAATCCTTGCCCTTAGCCCAAAACCCTAAGCCCTAAACACCAAACACCACAGGGTTTGGGGGTTTTTACGTTCAAGGTCTAGGATTTGGGGTTTTCGGGTCTTGGGGGTTTTGGGTTTCGGGTTGTTGGCGCAACGCTGCAACTTCAACCAAGGTCACGCACACACACCCAAAAACAAGCGAGCTTTGTCCCGTGTGAAAGGGTACTGGGTTACTCTACGCAAGCCCTAAATCCCCAATGCCAATACACCCTCATTAAAGAACATATCAACATATCCTAAATCATACTAAAGATCCTCATATAGTAAGGCATGTTCCTTCATTCGGGGGCTTTCAAACTTTGGGCTCTTTAGGAATGCTAAAAGCGTCAGGCGAGTCCTCGTGGGCGCAGCTCGATGGCGCCATCGGCGCTGGTGTCGCTTCGGACACCGCCTCTGCGTGAGTTCGATTCGGAGAAAGAAGCGCTACACCCTAAAACGCCCGAAGCCCGAAGCCCGAAGCCCGAAGCCCGAAGCCCGAAGCCCTAAGCCCTGAGCCCTGAGCCCTAAGCCCTAAGCCCTAAGCCAAACCTTCTACAGCCTCCCTAGAAGCCTAGAACCTCCAAGCCGGGGCTTATTCCGGACGGGAGTAGGGGCTGGTGGGAGCAAGAAGATAGCGTCTGCGGAGAGGCTGGAGCATGACCGGACAGGACGGGAGATTCAACAGTTCAGGTTTTAGGGTTTAGGGTTTAGCAGTTCACTTCAGACGATAAATTTGGGGATTGCTGTTTGAGTATAGGGCCGGCATTTTAGGGTTCGGGGCGGGGCGCAGGTTGGAGTTTCAGGCTCCGGGGCTTGTGGCTCAGGACCGTATAATTAGACAAGGTCAGAGACTCACAGGCAATGCATGCCGGTGTGCATACGGATTCACAGAGTTTTGGGTAAAACTGGATTCAGAACACCTCTGAGTTCGACCTTGGTTTGGCTTACCAAAAGCCACAGGCAGCTGTGAGGACACATGGGTAATGACTGAGATCTCGAGTAAACAGACGCGAGGGTTGGAGCCACAAGAGCCTTAAATCAAAGCCGGTCCAGAAATGCCTGGTCGCCCCAGGGCAAACCTGACGATACCCTAAACCCTAAACTCTAAACCCTGAACCCTAAACCCTCAACCTACACCAAGAGGCCCGGAACCCACAAAGACATGTCATGTGTCATGGAATGCGCCTTAGCAACCAGTCATATGCGGTCTTTAGGCTATGCCGTAAATGCTCAGCCCGTGAAGCCTTTCCGGTTCGCGGGTCATGGGGTTTGATATAGTTTACGGTTTACTTAGCTTTTCTGGATTAGGGGTTCTGGGTCATGCTGGTTGTGCACTATAGGGCGTGCACCAGAACACAATCAGACAGCATTCCACACCGGAAATCCCTCGCAATCAGCGCATGCATCCGGATTCGAATCTTCTGTTGTCCATACCATACTACCATACCCTCAAGATTGTCTGTTTTACTGTGTTTCGGCTTCGGGTTTAGGGCTTACGGTTGGCGATATGTTTGAGGTCGGATAAACATGTCAGAATGCTGCACTCTTACCAGCAGCCCTCTGAGGGCAGCCTGTTCGGCAGTGGGTCCTGTTAGCTTCTTCTTCTCCACTGCACTCCCCTTCTGGTCGAGCGGGTTGCCGAGCCCCGAGCCCACCAAGATATCCCAGAACAGCAAGCGTTATAAAACTAAAACCTTAAGCCACATAACAGGGCCTACAAAACCCCGTCCCTCGAGCTAGTCCTGCTCTTCCGGCAACACCCCCTGTGCTGGTTTGGGGCAACGGGCAACTTTCTTGCCTTGATTACCTGAAACTCCCGTGTCATGTCAAGCCTCTGACCCTTCGTTTTCCCTGAGCGTGGGTTCGTCCTGCTCTCGCACAGCGATCGATGCTTTTCCAAGGCTCCGGCGGAATCGCGGTTCAAAGCAAGCACAACCCCTGGAACAGCACCAGCATGAGAGGTATGACCAATGCAGCCGACGCAATCCATTTGCCGTCGGAGAAGTGAAGTTGCTCGACGGCAAAGCAGAGCCGCTGACGCCAGTGCTCTAGAGCCGAAAGCGGAAAGAGCAGCCGAAAATGGAGTCTGTCAAGATCAGTGCCGTCGTTCACCCGGATGTGGGTCTCGCTCAGATAACTGGCCTGCCAGCCGACAGGGTTATCACCAAGATCAATTTCAATGTTGATAGGTCTTGGCCCGACTGTTGCCTTGTGAAGGGCTAGCACACCTGCGCTTCCTATGCGATTCCTGTTAAGAGTCAACTTCTCCAGCCGACAAGTACTTGCACGGAGGGCGTGCGCGAGGGCGACGGCCCCTCCGTTCCTGACGGAGTTGGCTGTCAGGTCCAGGTCCTGCAAGGTGGCGCTTGCCGCAACACCTTCTGCCAGGAATTCGACAGAAGTGTCGCCAAGATTGCAAGCCCGAAATGCGACCGTTCTCAAAGGCGGCACAGCTAAGCCTTGGAGGCTGTCCCTGAGCGCCAGAATGGCACTCGAGGCTAGGGGCACGCACAGAAACTCCAGTTTCTGAAGGTCGGGCTTGACCAGTAGGAACCTTAACAAAGTTTCGCTGTGTGTTGGGCTGACGTACTGGTAGCATAGCCGGAATTCGCGGAGGCACTCATAGAGTGGAACCACCTCGAGGAGCCTTGGGATCTGCGCCAAGGGCAGCCTAAGAAACCTCACTTCCTCGGTGCTGGCCATCTTCTCCTCAAAGACCAACCTCCGCTGTTCAGCAGCCGAAGAGAAAATCACATGCTGTATATGCTGTGAAATAAGGTATACATACTACTTGTTACTATACATGAAACTCAGTTTTTGTAGATGCATACTAGCCAACAGCCTAGCAGCTTCTGCAAGCGGAGTACAGGTTCCGTGTCGGACCGGTGGGTGAATTGCAAGCCGGTGGCTTGCTCTCGGAAGGCACTCGGCGTGAGAGGCACCGTCGAGGCAGGTGGGAAGAGACTCCAGCAGATCATACATATGCGATACAAGAAGGGTGGTAGAGCTCGGCTGGGAGGATCCAACCATGCCCGGACCCAGCGCTGAAAGAGGCCGTCGCGCTGACCGATGTCTATCGACTTGGGCTTGCTCCACTCCACCTCCGCGCAGCACCAGCCACGCTGTAGATAGGGCGTGGCGTTGTGCACCAGGTCTGCGATGCCTACCTCTTCCACCCGGCCAGTGCCCTCGCGATAGACTGACAGAGTTCTGCCCTGCTTGATCTGCCGCCGCAGGAAGGATGCTGGTGTCAAGCGCTCGATCCGCCATACGCCCAAGCAAAACTCGGAGTCCGAGTTGGCGTAGCATAGGTGCATGGCCGTCATCGCATGTCGGAAAGCTTCTTCTTGACCTCCAAGGACAATAGAGGGGGGTCTGTTGCTGAACCGCTAAAGAACTACATGCATGTTTTCGAAGACACCCGACATACATAACCCACGCTGTCCCAAAAAATGGCACTTTCTCCTGGTCTTCTTCCTCGCCTGGCTGATCGCGCTTGTACTGGTATAAGGACAAGAAATCAATAAAGAAGAACACTGGGTAAACACCCCACCAGCGCTCCCAATCAAGAAAGTTGGGGAAGTCTTCTTGCCACTTAATTCGCCGCACGATCTGCTCGAGCTGGAAGCCGCAGGGGTCTGGGTGCTCCCGGGACTCCCACGCGTGCGAGATGGCGATGAAGCGGAAATATTCTTTCTTTGGGGGCCTGTACAGTGCCCCGGGCTCCCTTTCGGCTTCTTGCCTCCTAGGCCACACACGTCCTTCCCGGTGAAGTTGAACCAGGTATTCCGGCCGTACGAGCATGATGTCGGCCTCCTCCAGGTAGCGCCGCAACTCCTCCAGGGAGTTGCGCTTGTAGGGCCGGAGTGGCACCTGTCAGGCAGGGACGGCACGGCCCAGAGTCTGCACGGCGTAGCGATGCACTTCACCCTACCCAGAGACTCCAAAACCCCTTAATTACAGAATATACCTTAAATTATAATTGGATTCAGAATAAGATTTAAGGTATATTCGGGTTTTGGAGCCTCTGGGTACCTACACCCCCAACCCTGAAGCTCCTGACGAGTGAGATCCGCAGAGAGGTCTTCCTCGCCATGCGCCTGGCGCGGCGCCACGCAAGCCGCGCCCATGCGCCCAAGAGGAAACCGCGAGGACACCCCGGAGAACAGAAACAAACCTCGCCGAGGGAAGCCCTCCTGACCAGCGTGGACAGGTGTTTGCTGCTTGTTGCTCGTCAGCACCTGTCTGGTCCACAGGGGCAAAAGCTACGAGAGTCCTTATTATGACAGCAATAACAGTATGTCTTCATGCTGAGCTGATTATCATTCTGGTTGTAAAGGTTATCGGTGAGGATGAAGACCAGGAGCACGATGCCCGCTGTCCTACCGACAGCTTCGAGTGCAGATATCTCAAGTTCAACGATGAGCACTTGAGTTTGGAGCTTAAGCTTTGCAGGCTTCTATCTGAGAGCACTTTGGCTACATTCCTACGCACAATCGTACATGCTGATTTCGTCTGGCAGAGAGAGCGAGACACGGTAAGAGACACAGAGATATAGACTGCGAGATAACACACAGATATGGAGAGACAAATGCGATAGCTAAACTAACAGATGCTTACGGAGGCACATATGCAGAGAAGCAGACGGAAATGTACAGTAGTCATAACAAGGAACCCTAAGGAATACTGCTCGTAACTATTCAGGCTTCTCCACTAACTACTGCAAGCCCAGATAAAAGCGACAAAAGGCTGGATCAACGGCCACGAAGACACATGCCAAGTGACCTGAGCACTTAAGTTTAGGGTGCAGGGTGGTCAGGATTTACAGTAATGCGACCTGTAGACACAAAGACTACAAAGTAGTAGGTAATGATGACCCCACAACCCGCCTCACACCAGGAACTGGGAGCTTGCAGGGAGCACTGTGGTTCTCTTCCATTTGGGAAGTACAAGCACAGGGATAGTTTTCTACATAAGGGCCCCTTTTGGGGGGGGTCCTTTTTGCAAGGTGCTGTACTACAAAGAGACCCACAAATGGGAACCTGATTTAGAGAACTACCCACATGGAATCAACGACAATGTATATGAAAGCAGCTCAGTGAAGGTGGAACTGATGGTGTTCCAAGGCTAGGGCCTAGAGGACACCCGAGACCAGAAACCACAAGGGGGGGGGGGGGGGACACTGAGGGTCCAATACGCCTTAGTGAAAAATTATTCCTTAAACCGCACAAGGAGCCCAGCTATATTTTGAGGAATATTCCTTAACTGAGGAGTATTGGGGAGGAGCCTCCGCTGGTGAAGAAGCCCCGCCGATGGCCTCGCGCCCTTGCTGGCCTCACCACGTGTTTGCGGTCTTCAAGTTCCGGTGTCGGGTCAATTCTCAACAGGTTCTTCAACTCTGCAACCCAAAACCCTGACCCTAAACCCCAAATCCCTAAACCAAAACCCTGAACCCTGAAACCCGAAACCCTGGTTTAGGCTTCTCCTAAGGCGTGGAGCTGTTGTTCGGGTGGGCCTGAAGCCGAACGCCGTGGCATGACCTGCAGCCAGAAAGAAGGTCAATTCCCTGGTGGGCCACACCCAGGAGTTTAGGGCTTAGGGTTTAGGGTTTAGGGTTTAAGGTTTGGGGTTTAGGGCCAGGGTTTAGGGCCGAGGAAAGAAAATGGCGACCTTATTCTTAAGACGGTTGTAAGGGAACCTAAACCCTAAAACAAGTGAATAAGGGCCTACTCTGGGCCCTAGTGGGGATTTAGAGTTTAGGGTCTAGGGTTTAGGTGGTTAAAGGGCGGCCCTGACAAGGGAAATCCTTAACTCTAAGCCCTAAACCCTAAACCTTAAACCCTAAACCCTCAACCGGAACGGCCACCGACAGACTCCCTAAAAAAAGCAGGGTCGAAGTAGGTCCAACTTAGGATTTTGGACTTCGGCCTACAAGACCCCTTCGTTTGGAAGCATGGGCCCTTGGTATGGTCCCTTACCTTTCTGTATAGGGATGCGAGGAATGGGTCCTTACTATATATCGAAACCCTAGAAGCCCCACAAGTTCTCCAAACCCTAAACCCTAAACCCCAAACCCTAAACTTTAAACCCTAAACCCTAAACCCCAAACCCCAAACCCCAAACCCCAAACCCTAAACCCCAAACCCTAAACCCTAAACCCTAAGCCCCAAAAAGATGCCCGAGAAGGCCAGGCCTCGGCCTGTCACGAGAGGGAAAATCATGGCAGCATCCCTTTCATGATGTGAGGACTCGTGAAGTAGGGTTTAGGGTTTAGGGTTTCGGGTTTCGGGTTTAGGGTTTAGGGTTTAGGGTTTAGGGCGATGTGTCTCGGAGTCGTGGGAAGAGATGCTGGAGTGTGTGGCGGGTGTAGAGTCTAAGAATTTCTTTTGTTATTCGTCTTATTATATATGTATATATATATGTACATATATGTACTCTTTTTTTGGAGGGGGTGTCTTTTGTTATTCTGTCTTTGTTTTGTTTCTTTGTTTTTTGGGGGTGGGGGGGGGGGGGGGGGGCTTGTCTTTTGGCGATAGTCAGAGGTGCTTCAGGGGCTTAGGCTTAGGGTTTCTAGGGCTTTGGATGTTGGAATTTGGGCTCAGGGTTTAAACCCTTAACCCCAAGCCCTCACCTAAACCCTAAACCCTAAACCCTAAACCCTAAACCCTAAACCCTATAACCCTAAACCCTAAAACCCCCTGGAGCCGTCGGTGTGGGAGCGGGCATCTTGGGTTCGGGGCTCCGCAAAGGGCCAAGGTAGTCAAGCAGGAACGTCAGTTGCAAGCACTGAGGGTTTAGGGTTTAGGGTTTAGGGTTTAGGCTTTAGGGTTTAGGGTTTAGGGTAGGGTTGATAGGCTTTAACCAGAAAATGTGAGAAAAAAAGAAAGTGCTTCATGTTCCCTAGGCGAATATAAACACCAACAGAATACTTCCTAAGAGGGCTCAGCATGATTCCTAAAGGGCTTCTGGTCACATTCTTGAAAACCCTAAACCCTAAACCCTAAACCCTAAACCTTATAACCCTATACCCTTTGCGGGTTACTTTCACAAGGGAACCCGGAACGCGAAATGAGCAAAAGGGTACCACTGGGCTCACCGTACTTTAGCTGAGCAGACGATACAGTACGGTTTCGGGCTTAGGGTTTAGGGTTTAAACCTGAGCGGCAGGCCACACACGGACACCCAATCCTCGAGAACATATACTTCTGCGTGGAAGCTCTTGGGATGTCATCACTCTGCCCGTAGGACACCGCCGAACAGCCAACCGAATCAACATTAAGCAAGTACGCAAAGCAAAGAAGCGAACTTGTTCAGAACCAGAACGTGAGCGGTGCGCAGCCTGTCTTACCACTCGCGTCCACACAAGGCTTTCGCGAGCAACTCCGATCTGTGAATCAGCAATCGTTCGTCATTTCGAGTCTTCACGTCAGAGCTCTGCCTGATGTGCAAATTTTGGGATGTCATCACTCTGCCCGTAGGACGCCGCCGAACAGCCAACCGAATCAACATTCAGCAAGTACGCAAAGCAAAGAAGCGAACTTGTTCAGAACCAGAACGTGAGCGGTGCGCAGCCTGTCTTACCACTCGCGTCCACACAAGGCTTTCGCGAGCAACTCCGATCTGTGAATCAGCAATCGTTCGTCATTTCGAGTCTTCACGTCAGAGCTCTGCCTGATGTGCAAATTTTGGGATGTCATCACTCTGCCCGTAGGACGCCGCCGAACAGCCAACCGAATCAACATTAAGCAAGTACGCAAAGCAAAGAAGCGAACTTGGTCAGAACCAGAACGTGAGCGGTGCGCAGCCTGTCTTACCACTCGCGTCCACACAAGGCTTTCGCGAGCAACTCCGATCTGTGAATCAGCAATCGTTCGTCATTTCGAGTCTTCACGTCAGAGCTCTGCCTGATGTGCAAATTTTGGGATGTCATCACTCTGCCCGTAGGACGCCGCCGAACAGCCAACCGAATCAACATTCAGCAAGTACGCAAAGCAAAGAAGCGAACTTGTTCAGAACCAGAACGTGAGCGGTGCGCATCCTGTCTTACCACTCGCGTCCACACAAGGCGTTCGCAAGCAACTCCGATCTGTGAATCAGCAATCGTTCGTCATTTCGAGTCTTCACGTCAGAGCTCTGCCTGATGTGCAAATTTTGGGATGTCATCACTCTGCCCGTAGGACACCGCCGAACAGCCAACTGAATCAACATTAAGCAAGTACGCAAAGCAAAGAAGCGAACTTGTTCAGAACCAGAACGTGAGCGGTGCGCAGCCTGTCTTACCACTCGCGTCCACACAAGGCTTTCGCGAGCAACTCCGATCTGTGAATCAGCAATCGTTCGTCATTTCGAGTCTTCACGTCAGAGCTCTGCCTGATGTGCAAATTTTGGGATGTCATCACTCTGCCCGTAGGACGCCGCCGAACAGCCAACCGAATCAACATTAAGCAAGTACGCAAAGCAAAGAAGCGAACTTGGTCAGAACCAGAACGTGAGCGGTGCGCAGCCTGTCTTACCACTCGCGTCCACACAAGGCTTTCGCGAGCAACTCCGATCTGTGAATCAGCAATCGTTCGTCATTTCGAGTCTTCACGTCAGAGCTCCGCCTGATGTGCAAATTTTGGGATGTCATCACTCTGCCCGTAGGCCACCGATGTAGTGCAAGTTGTATAGGAGCCCTTGCGAAGGTGTCATCCTGAATTCAGTCTGAAGACCAAACCCTAAACCGTAAACCCTTGGCGGCCTCATCATTCCAAACTTTGGAAGTTTTACAGATGTAAGCTGATTCCCCAAGCTCTGGGCATTGAGAAGGCACATAAAATCTAAGGTCCACTTGCGCATTTCGGGTTTAGGGTTGGGGGTTTAGGGTTGATAGGGTCTCGGGCAACCCCAAAGGCTAACCCCTCGAGCCCTAGCCTGTAACCCAAGACCCCAAACTCAATCCACTGAAGCCTGCAGATTGGACCTGTTAACCCTTCAAGCGCCAAATTCCAGACACCTGTCGCTCATGATTTGTGGTTGAGGGTTTAGGTCTCGGGGTTTAGGGTTTAGGGTTAGGGTTTAGGGTTTAGGGCTAGGGTTTAGGGCTAGGGTTTAGGGTTTATAAGGTATGAAGGGAAATGCTGTCAAGCCT